GACACTGAAGTGTCCCAATACCTCAAATGGTTCAATTCTAACACTGAAGTACACAACACAACAGTGCTGGTGATATTTAATGATCATGGCAAAAAAGGAATTGACATTAGAAATATCCGCGCAAGTATGCTTGAAAATCGTAGGCCATTAATGTACTTGCAAGTCCCAGAATGGCTACTGCAACACCGGCCTCAACTTCGATACAATCTCAAGAAAAACACCAAGATGCTTACCACCATTTCGGACTTGCATCAAACTATCAAACATTTAGCTTTACATAAGTAAGTAGAGGGTCAGTTGGATGCTCAATTTATGTGCAAGGATGTCATACTGTAGCGTACTGTAGCATTTTTCTGTGATCATGCATTTGATGTTTCTGCATTAAAAAAAATATATTCAAGAAAAGTAAAAGTATCACAAACTGCACTAGAATTAGAGCCAGGAAAACTTGTACATCTGATCAGCTGGTCTCTCTTTGGGCTTTATTTTTTTCTCTGTGAATAGTGGGGTTTTCTGGAGGAATATTATTTTGGATAATGCAGGAAAAATCAATCATTTTCATCAATTTTTGCTAGCAACTTTTTTTCTTAGCGCCGTTTCCTGTGGAATGCATCCTGTCCATGCCACAGAAAGGGCAAGCCTGTTTCCTTTTTTCTTCTTCTTTCCTTTGGTGGCTGCAGGGACCTGAACAGAAGAAAAAAAGCGTACAAACACTCTCTAATTTATAATGTGTGACTAATGTTTTCCTCATCTTTAAAATGTTCAGTCACAGATAGTGCAGGAAAATCAGTCATTTTTATTGGCTTCTGTCAACAACTTTTTGCATAGTGGCTTTTTCTATAGAATGGATCAAGCCTATTACCCGAAGCTGCATTATAATTCAGCCTCTTTTGTTTAAAGTCCAGCTGAAACACCCCCGGGTACTGGGGTTTCGCAGGAAGCCAAAAGCTTGTTGCAACCAGTGCCAAAGACAAGAACCTGCTACGATGCAGGTGTTCCCATGCATCTGTGTGGCTGCGAAGAATCCACAGGCAATGTGGATTCCGTGGCTTTAAAGAAGCTTCCCATGACAAATATGGAATTGGCAAAAGCGGGTTTAGCAGTCATAGAATTCATGAGAGAAACTGCAGAAAACCCCTTCTACAAGAAAGTCTACCTCAGGAGACACGGCCAAACAGCGGGGGTTAGCTTGCTCTTCCATAATCACGAGGTGCTTGCTGCTGATCATCTTCCAGAGGAAGAGAAAAATCTTCGCCCTGAATTCAGCTTCTTTCCTGCATTTGTTTTTGGCACTTGCAAAGACTGGGACTTGAAAGAGATTGAGGTGATGTCAATCAGAAGGATCCCAGCGACAAAAAACTCAGGTGAACACATTTTTAAATATTTGAATTTATTCCTCGGAGTTTCAAATTTTCGGTATTTGTTCGATTTTTCAATGCAATAAATTCAGCGGACAACGGTTTCTGGCATCTCCTTGGGAGTGAATGACTAGGTTGCGTTCTGTTGATACCTGAATTTCTAGTGAGAGATTTTGAATTTCTTCACTGTTCTGCAGAAGAATACCTAGTATTTCCAGTAGCAACTGCTTCTCAGACGCAGACTGCGAATCTGCCTGTCTTATTTCCTTAACGTATTCCTATTTCAGTACAAGAAGAATTAGAACTTCATTTGAAATTATCGCCAGGACCAGCTCATGTTCACGTCGTGACTGGGGCAAACAGAGACACGACCACTTCAATCATGGGTGAAATCCAAGTAAGATTACTTAAATTGTCCCTTGGGGTCATTCGATTCGATCGTGAGATCAACTATGAATTTTCTCTCTTTTCGGCAGGTTCAAGAAGTGGTCCGCCTGGACAGGTATTCTCACACAGGGAAATGCGTCAAAAGTTGGGCACCATCCCTGGAGAGTTTTTGTTATTGTCTGAGCAATGACACTAGTTTTAAAGTGATACATTTGTGAAGAAAAGTGCATGTTCGACAAATGATGTACTTCCTCGCTTGTGGCAATAATAGAAAATACTTTGGTGCGTTCATTTTCGAATATAACTTTTGTACAAGTTCTCTTCATCTTCCATAGTTATTTGTTGAGCTTGAAGTTTCTCATCATACTGTATTGCAATTTTCTCACGCGATGTAATTTTGTGCTCTTTTTATAAAATCCTAAACGCAGAAAATCCTTTAGTATTGAAAAATGTCGAAGATCGACTGAATAGCTGGAGACATCGGAATTCACAACATGGAGTAAACAGCCAAACAAGGCAGGCAACGAGAAAATAACAAAGCTTTGTGTCTATTTTCTAATTACGGGAACTCAAGTGAAAATGTATACAGCACAAGAATCTCTGTTAGTTTCAATGATAAGATGTGAACAGTAGGGAATGTCTTTTCGAGACTTCGCCTTGTCCCTCAGACAGATGATGTGTTAACATCTTTATATTCGACTTCACCTTTGAGCTGACATTTTTTCGCGAGTCCTTCTTTCTACAGGATATTTATTCTCAAGTTTAGAGGATTATCAACAACACATGCATGCAAAGGTAGCTCCTCCAAATGAAGACCAAGTTTTTGAAAAACACATCCAATTTGCTGAAAGCTGGGTAAAATGCCCTTCCATAAAATTACAGTACTACCTTTTCCTCTTGAGCTTAGCTGTTTCCTGGACATTCACACCACATTATCTGATGGATAAGCCAAAAACGATTTTGACTGTGAATCTCTATCTGAGTCACCCAAAAAAACCTTTTGACTTGGAGTGGCTCAAAATCACTTTGATGACTCAACAGTCATTTTAAGTGACTTGGAGAGCCCAAAAATCACTTGGGCACCTGGAAGTTGCTCAAAACTACTTTTGAGCAACTTCCAGATGCCAACATATCCCAAAATCATTTCAGACAACTTTGAATTGCCCAAATTTATTGAATTAATTATCATCACTTGCACTGCTGGTTATCATGGAGTTATTGTTCAGAATTTTTTTGAGTGACTTTGAGTTGCTTGGAATCAATTTGAACTACTTGGGCTACTTGAAGTTATTCAAAAATATTTGTGAAACTCTGGGCTGTGGTTTGAAAGATTATGTTCACCTTGAAGTCCCTCAAATTACTTTCCTCATACAGTTTTAGAGGGACTTGTAACAGTAACATTTTCAGCAACTTGGGCTACTTCAAGTGATATCAAACATATTTTTACAACTCCGGACAGTGGCTCAAAATTATTTGAATTTTCAAATTAGCACAACATTAATTTGAGGGCACTTTGGATTTGCTTAAAATTATTTTGAGAAACATGGGTAGCTCATCATTTTTTCAGCAACTTGAAGAGGTTCAGAAATATCTTGAGAGACTTTGGCTACTTATTCAAGTAACTCAAGAATACTTTTTGAATTCTTGGCAGTGAATAAAGTGATAAGCATCCAACAAAAGTTGCTCAAATAATTTTCATTGACTTTGGCGTCCGTCATAATTTTTGGAGTAACTTTGACTTTCATACACATTTTTGAACAGCTTTGAGTTGTCTACAATTATTTTGAGTGACTTAAAAATTACTCTGAGGAAGGCTGACTTTTCCACATAATTTAAAGGTA